AAATGCTGTCACATCTCTCTCCAACAACAATGATTCTTCACCTTTGTTGTTCACAGCTGAACAATGGAAGGCCTCGACGGGTCTAATGGGTAATGTAAAAACTCCTGAGCAACGCCTGAATGGTGAGTTTCGTAAAATACTTTGGATAATTGACTCAAGTGCAACATATCTTGTTACTGGTGATGTGTCGTGGCTGAGGATTATTAGAAAAATCCCAGGTCGTCTCGTGGGTCTTCCGAATGGCAAAAAGGTTATTGGAACTCATGAAGGATCTGTTTGTCTATCGGACAAAATAATGCTTAAAAGTGTCCTTTTAGTTCCTAAATTGAGTTGCAATATTATATCTGTTTCTCAACTAAATGATGATATGAAATGTATTGCTGCGTTTGATTCACATATGTGTGGTATACAGGACCGGTCGAGGAAGCTGATTGGAGCGGGTGTTAGACGGGACGGACTTTACTACTTCAAGAAGAGTGATTCTATTCTTCATGTGCCAGTGAATGGCGCCATCTCTACACTGGAATTGTGGCATAAGAGAATGGGACATCCCTCTGAGAAGATTGTGAAGTTGCTTTCTCCGGTTAGTGATAGTAAGGGTAGTTTAAATAAGGCTTGTGAAGTGTGTTTTCGAGCCAAACAAACTAGAGAAAGTTTTCCGTTGAGTGATAGTAAAACAACTAGCATTTTTGAAAAAAAAATATTGTGACTTATGGGGTCCCTACAAGCATGCTTCGTCTTGTGGTGTTCGTTATTTCTTGACATTAGTAGATGATTTTTCTCGTGCTGTCTGGGTCTATTTACTAGTCGATAAGACCGAAGTTTTTAACATATTTATGTCCTTTGTTGCAATGATTGAAAGACAATTTTCTCAAAAGATCAAAATTGTTCAGAGTGATAAGGGAACGGAATTTAATTGTTTGCTTGGGTATTTTTCTACTAATGGGATAGTTTTTCAAACATCGTGTGTTGGTACTCCCCAACAAAATGGTAGAGTAGAAAGAAAACATAGACACATTTTAAACGTTGGGAGAGCACTTTTGATTCAAGCAAAGTTACCCGTTTACTTTTGGGGTGAAGCAATCCTCACGGCAGCCCATTTAATAAACCGAACCCCCTCATCCCTTTTCAATCATCAAACACCTTATGAACTACTTTTTAACAAACTGCCTTCTTATGATACTCTTAAAACTTTTGGATGCTTATGTTTTGCTCATAATCAGCGAGCGAAGGGAGACAAGTTTGTTAGTCGAAGTAGAAAGTCTGTTTTTGTGGGTTACCGTTTGGAAAGAAAGGGTGGAAATTGTCCGACTTAGATACTAAGGAATTCTTTGTGTCTTGTGATGTCAAGTTTTTTGAGGACATCTTTCCTTACGCGGACATGTGTGACATAACAAATAATGAAGATGCTACTATTGATGAGATATGTGCTGATTATATTGATCTCGTGATTGAAGATGAACCAAATATCACAACACAAAATGCAGATCAGGAGCCTCCAAATGTTGGTCACGAAACTCCTCCGATGGAGCAAACTGATCAACCGGTTCAAATGGGACGTGGCCAACGAGAAAAGTTCCCATCAATTCTCTTAAAAGACTTTGTCACCCACACTACTTCTAGCAGGGCCGTTCCAAGCCAATTTGAGGCCGGGGCAAAAACACAAAAGAGGCCCTTCAAATTTCAAAATTTAGTAACCGCATACGAAAACACAATGACATATATGGAGATTAGTACAATAACACTTATTATTAAATTATATATATATATATATATATATATATATATATATATATATATATATATATATATATATATATATATAACGAAAATTTTGACTTTATTTAAGTGGTGTACGTTAAATATTAAAACCGATATAACAGCTAGGCTGTGCAAAAAAAAAAAAATGAACAACCGAACCATTTTAAAAAACCGACGATTTGGTTTTAGTGTTTAAAGTCACTAGTTTTTTAGGTTCGAATTATTCTTTGTTTATATAAAAACCCAAAAAGCCGACTCGAGCCAGAATATTTAAACGACGATTTTTCATATATAAATTTAGTCGATTAAGTTTACTAAAAGTTAAACTAAATAATATACCTTACAATGTTTATTGACAACTATGATATTGAAAATGAGTTAATTTAATGTTTATTGAAAATAATATACCTTACGTTGTATATAAATTTAATATATGGCCTTGTGTAAGTTAATTTAACAAAATGTTAGATAAAAATTTATTAGTATATATATTAAAATAGATTTATTATTAAAAAGAAAAATTGATATTTTGAAATCAGGTGGGCATTATATTGTTTCAAGTGAAGAGCCGATACAATAAAATATTATATAGAAACTTATTAGTATAATATATAGTTTTTAAATTAGATTTGTTAAAAAAAGAAAAAATAAATAAACTAGATATTTTGAAACTAGCTGTGCACTTTGCAGGTCTATGGTTGGTTTGAAAGGAAAAGCCGATATAGGACCAGTACATATGAAAACCATAGAAAACTTTTGTATGTTAATATAAAAATGATTACAATGGGAGTCGAACTCAGAATAGCCGGCAATGTCAAAAAAACTCTTGATCAAACTCATCCAAAGAAATTATTTTTTTATCTCAATTGAAATTATATATATATATATATATATATATATATATATATATATATATATATATATATATATATATATAAAACGCACATATCACAGAAATAATTTTGGGGCCCCAAGCCAGGATGAGGTCCGGGGCCATCGCCCAGCTTGCCCAGCATATTGGGCCGGGCCTGACTTCTAGTAAAAGTTCGTCCCATGCTACACCATCTCCACAGTCTTCTGCAGGTACTCCTTACCCTATAGCACACTATAGAAATTGTGAAAATTTTTCTCGTGGCTATCAAACATTTATTGCAACTGTCACATCGGGAAAAGAACCACGCACCTTTAGAGAAGCCATGAAACATGATGGTTGGAAAAATTCTATGCGAGATGAAATACGTGCATTGGAAGATAGTGGTACTTGGACATTGGAACCACTACCTCCTGGCAAACGAGCATTAGGAAGTCAATGAGTCTACAAAATCAAGTATCTCTCTAATGGAGACATCGAAAGACTCAAATCTCGCTTAGTGGTCTATGACAATCACCAAGAGGAGGGAGTTGATTATACAGAAACATTTGCTCGTGTCGCCAAGATGACTACAGTTAGAGTCTTCTTAGTTGTAGCTGCCTCTAAAAATTGGGAACTTCATCAAATGGATGTGCACAATGCCTTTCTCCACGGAGATCTTCAAGAGGAAGTGTATATGAAACCTCCACCCGGATTTAAATGTTCCAGCCCAAATCTGGTGTGTCGTCTTCGCAAGTCCTTGTATGGCTTAAAACATGCGCCAAGATGCTGGTTTGCAAAGCTAGTCACAACACTCAAAAAATATGGTTTTCGTCAATCTTATTCTGACTATTCTTTGTTTACATATGTATGTGGCGATGTTCGTATCCACATGCTTGTGTATGTGGATGACTTGATAATTTCAGGAAATAATACAGAGGCCATAAGAGTTTTCAAAAATTATCTCAGTAGGTGTTTTAAAATGAAAGATTTTGGGCCTTTGAAGTACTTTCTTGGTATAGAAGTGGCTCGTAGCCTCTCTGGTATTTTATGTATCAACGAAAATACACTTTGGATATTGTGACGGAAACTGGTTTGTTGGGTGCTAAACCATCTGATTTTACCATTCAACAGAATCATAAATTGGGTCTTGCTACTGGTGCTAAGTTGACTGATCCAGAAACTTATTGTCGATTAGTTGGAAGATTAATTTATTTGGCTGTGACACGACCTGATCTGGCATACTCGGTTCATATTCTATCTCAATTCATGCAATGTCCTCCTGTTGAACATTGGGAGGCTGCATTGAGGGTGGTTCGTTACTTGAAAGGTACTCCAGGAAAAGGAATTTTGTTGAAGGCATCTAGCAATATGAATCTAACAGGATGGTGTGACTCAGATTGGGCTGCTTGCCCGAACACACGACGCTCTTTATCTGGCTGGATTGTGTATTTGGGCCATTCTCCAGTTGCATGGAAGACAAAGAAACAACCTACGGTGTCCAGATCCTCTGCTGCTGAAGCGGAGTATCGATCTATGGCTGCTATTACTTGTGAGGTCAAGTGGCTAAAAGGTTTGTTGAAATGTCTGGGAATTCAACATCAACATCCGGTTACTCTTTACTGTGATAGTCAATCTGCAATTCATCTTGCCAAAAATCCGGTCTTTCATGAACGCACAAAGCATATCGAAGTTGATTGTCATTTTGTTCGAGATGCCATTCTTGATGGTTTAATTGCACCCATTTATGTTCATACTAAACTTCAACTTGCTAATATTCTAACTAAAGCACTTGGTAAAGCAACCTTTGATGATTTGGTTCTCAAGTTGGGCATTTATGATCCTCATGCTCCAACTTGAGGGGGGGTGTGAAACAGGTTGTCACAGCTGGTCAAAGAGCTCGTAAATATATTTAGTTTAGATAAGGTTTTCAAATAATGTTTATCTCTTAGTTTGAATTGGGTAGATAGATGTTACTTCCGTTTCTTAAGGCTCTGAGTTGTATATGTACGAAACCTCAATTGAATGAATGATAAGCTTTTTGAACCATTAACTTTTCAAATTTAGAGGAAAGTTTGCAAAGAACAAAAAACATTAATATACATATGAAAGGCATAACAGCTTATGAACACTAAGTATGTGAGGGGCGTCTATTTTTATTTACATAAATGGTCCCTAAACTTTATTAAGGTTGTCAGTTTTGGCCCACTTTTTTAATTTTTATTCAGTTTTGGGCCATTTTGACCACTTCTGATTTTTTTAGTTAAAAAAAATGTTTTAGGCAAAGCCTGAATCGCCTACTAGTTAATACAATAGCACATAAACATCAGTTATTTCAAATTAGAACATCAAAGAAACAATACACTTACATAGAACTATAAATCTTTTTCTAAATCTTGAGATAATCAGCATTTAAGGGCTTGAACACTTGACTAGCATGTGCTTCGATGTAGTTCATGTGCTTGATTGGCATATGCATGTAAACAACCCAATCCTCATTGTTGGTCGGACTTGGCAATGTCATCACATAACAGTCTTTCCTTGCAGATGGGACATGGCATGATCCAAATGCCACCTTACCCCACCCGAAATCCATCTTGTCCATCATCTGAAACCTCTGTCCTGATGAAACCATCATCGACATCTCCCCATTAGCAAAAGCCTTTGCTTTTAGTGGCATTGACCTTCGTTCTTCCACCCAGTCGATGAGGTCAAGAAAATGGTCTTTTCCGGTTGCAGTCTGCAAGAAGTCATGAACCTCGGTAGCTACATTGCTCAATGACATCTCCATCAATTCCTATTCAACCATAGAAGTTGTCACTTTGTCAGAGTTTTCAATGTCTGGGTTTTGGGTTTTATAAAAACTGTAAGATATTTGGAAGACCGTGTCGCACCCAGTATGTTTCTCACGGGAATGTTTTATTTAAAACCATTCTCTGAATTTTGTTAAATTTGCTACGTTTTTACTATTTTCAAATTACTAACACATAAATAAATTCCTTACCTCTGATCTTTTACTTCCATATGGCATTGATAAAACATTGCCAAAGTGTGAAGCCGTTAGTTTTTCTTTCTCTTCTCCATCTCCCTCACTCAACCTTCGTCTTCCATCAACTGCAAGAGCCACGTTACACATTTGGTTGTGATTTCCCGAGTCTTCAAAACATAGTGCAATCATCTTCCACAAGAAAGAGGTAAATGCCTCTAGCTACGACCTTCTGCACCCATTTTCACTCGCTAACAACTGCAGCCTTTTAAGTTGGGCACCCTCAATGTAGTATACACAGTTAACTAATAAATCATCTCCATCCTCGTGGTTTTGGGCATTATTAGAAGGTTTCAGTGGTGGTGGTAGAAATGGAGCAAACACATCATCGATTGATGAGGAATAAGTGGTTGGGCATCTTGGATTAAGGATAGACCTCTGAAAGGAGGGAAACAATGCAGGGGTTTCGGAGGTCTGCCCATGAGGATATAAACATGTTAGCTGAGTAACCGTCTGCTGCCCGATGATCAAACATGCAACCTATGACAATGCCTCCACATTGTAATTCAGTAACCTGTATTTTATAGCATTCAATACTATTAAAATCAATTTAATTATTTTGTATCAACATAGTTCTTTATAACGCAATTGGAGACAAAGAAAAATATATGACACATTTGATATAGATATCGAGTTCTAACTAATTTACAGATGATTGATGTGAATATTACAAAAAATAAGTCACATATATATATATATATATATATATATATATATATATATATATATATATATATATATATATATATATATATATATATATATATATAACGTACAAGACCTTATACTATATATGAGTTTACTTATGGAATACTTTTAACAAACTATACAATAATCTTGCTCACAATAATATATATATATATATATATATATATATATATATATATATATATATATATATATATATATTATTGTGAGCAAGATTATTGTATAGTTTGTTAAAAGTATTCCATAAGTAAACTCATATATAGTATAAGGTCTTGTACGTATCGAGCGAACTAGCATTATATGAGATTTAAAGACTGAGTTAGATATTGATTTCATTAAATGCCAGCCACTAGCATGTTCAAAAAAGAGTCACCGGTATTTCGCATAATCATGTATTTGATTTTTTCAAAAAGTAAAGAAAACAAAAGTCCAAAAAACGTTGCCAATTACAGTCAAATAGTTTTTTACTTACAACCCAATGAAATCTTAGAAAAAATCTCTAAAATAAGAAGCTAGTTATTTGTGATGATTTTAATCTAATCTACCCTAATAAAAGAAAATAACATTGCCACATGTCATCACCTTATTCACTATGCCACATGGCATTTTATCTATTTTTCCAATTACCTTTAATTCCACTTGGCAAATTCTAATTTTTTTGCTTTTAAATTAAAAAATCCGTAATGAAAATACAATATATCAATTTCCCTGAATTTAAAGAAAGTCAATAACTACTTAAAAGTTCACGTAATTTTTGCAAGGGAGGTATTAATTTCAAATAAACCTTCTTAATTATCATCAACAAAATTCTGTCAATCCCTTTAAAAATAACGTTAATTTGGAGAAACTTTTCAAACATTCATTCACTCACGTAATTTTTGCAAGGAATGTATCAAACTTTTACATCCTTTCCAAAAATCATTTTTATAAATTACTTTTTATGTATAACTCAATTCTATTCATCTGTTATCACTGTCTCTTGCAATATTGAGTTTACAGCATCGTCTTCTAAAGTTTTGCATCATCACAGTGGAAAATCTTCTTTTCAATCACAGAGTTCAATCCATTCGGTAAGTTTATAAAAAAAACTACTTTTAAATTGTTTGTTTATTTTTTGTTTCTTCTTGTGTTTTTTTTAATGTGTGTGTTGTTTTTTTAACATCTTCTAAATGTGTATGCGTGTGTGTGCGTTAACTGTTTATGTTCATGTGTGTTTGTGTTTAACTGTTTATGTTCCTAAATCAATCCAATATAAAACGCATGATTCTGACTTTTGAGTTTTCATTCCATGTATCAAAATGTGGTAGATGAAAACAGGGGCGTTAAAACGTATGATTAAATGTCTGTAACTCTCTATGTATAAGTTCTGGAGCAACATTGAAGCTGTAAATAAATAAGATGAACAAGGATTTTTTATGTAGACTTTTGTTAAACAGGAGACTTAGAATGAAATAAATTGTCTTATAAAAGCCCCTGTTTTCCATCCTAAGTCCTTGCTTTCAACCTTGGGAATCAAAATTGAAACCATTTACAGCAATATAATTAAAAAAAATTAATTGTTATTCATGTTTTTGTTCAACTATGCTGTTTTAGGTGTTTTCCTACTTATTTGAAAGTTGTTATATTTGTTTCATGTGATGGAATGGAAACAGGAAAAGGAATGGAATACTCTATTATCACTGTTATTGTTTTTTTTGTTATAATGTAGATTAATTAAAGTGAAAAATACAAATATTTTTTTCTGTCCCCAACTGTTTACTATTTTTGTATGACCAAGGGTCAAAAACGTCATTTTTACATTTTTCTTGGTTGTTTACACATTTGGTACATATTAACCTAAATGTGAATTTGCATACATTCAATCTACTTACAATTCAAAAAAAACATATAAATATTCTTCATAACTCCAGTCGTTTCATTACCCATAGCAGATAACAAACTGAATACCTCTTAGAATCATGATAACATCAGTGCTGTTACAGGTGTTATTAGAAAAAAAAAACTACAAAAAAGGTATGCTTTAATTGGGATGGTTTTTCAAAACAAATATGCTTTTATTATAGCAAAAAAGGAAGTGGTTATATTTTTGTTTTACTATTCCATATTTTGTATTTTGGGCATTGCTGCAGAACTGACTTTGTTTTGCTATTTATTTAAAAGTGGTTATATTTTTTTGGTGTGATGGAATGGAAACAGAAAATATGGAATAGGATGGTCTATTATCACTATTATTGTTGATTTTTTTATGTTTTAATGTTGATTGATTAAAGTGAAAAATACTAATAATTTTTTTTGTCCCCAACTATTTATGATTTTTCTATGAGCAAGGGGCAAAAACGTCATTTTTACAAATCTGTTGGCTATTTAACACGTCTGGTCCATATTGACCTAAATGTCTATTTGCATATCTTCAATCTGCAGAACCGACTTTGTTTTACTGTTTTATGTAAAAAAAATGAAAATTCCATTTTATAACAACTTCAAATAAAGTAACTCTCCTCGGAAGATACCGAATACAATTTTTTCCCCTACAATATGGTGAGCCTGTTGAACATCGTATGTTTTGATTATAGTTGTGGGACACTTCTGGTATCTTCGGATTACTCATGTTATGTTTAATACCTTTGTAAACTAATATATTTGTAAATTAATAATTTTTAGTCATTATGATTTCTCTCTAACCTTATTTGACAGTTTTACACATTTGGTACATGATTGACCTAAATGTTTTGTCATTTATGCAATTAAAATGGTGTTTTCTTATGTTCATTACTACATTCTTCCATAGATTAATGGAAAACAGGAAGATTAGCATGATAAGTGAGTTGGCTCTCTCACAAGATGACTATACCATTAAGGTCCGTGTCATCCGTTTGTGGAGACAAACTTCATGGAATCAACAACTTCGTATGATTGGCATGATATTGATGGATGAAATGGTATGTTATAACTTACGTATGTTAACTTACAATTATATGTATGTGTATTATAACTTACATATTTTATATATCATTACATTTATTGTATGCTTATTAATTAATATTTGATTTTTTATCTTAAGGGCTCAAAAATTGAATGTAATGTGGACAAACCATTTGCATCGCTTCAAGGAAAATCTTTTGAAGAATATGGTGATTACTACATTCATAAACCCACATTAGGGTTAAATGAAGGTGCTATAAAGTTTGTTGACGGTCCACACAAACTCTATTTCCAGTATAACACGAAGGTAACTAAATGCATAGATTTTTGCGGGCCACAGAATTCTTTTGATTTTGCAGACTTCCAACAACTTCATGATAATGCAATAAACCCAAAAATTTCATTTGGTTAGTGCATTTCCTTTCAACCCATTCCTAATGGATTAAAATATTTAAATTTCATTTTTTACACCACAAAAAAACATACTTACATTTTTCCTTTTGTATAATATAGATGTTATTGGAAACGTTTTCCGGTGTTTTCCATTGGAACCTGCAAAGGATAGACAGGAAAAGAAAATCACATTCAAAATGGAGGATTTAGAGTGGGTTTCATTTTTTATACCTATAATTACTCTTTTTATTATATATTTTTTTAGTAATTTTCATCATTTTTTACAGAGGACATGAAGTTTTTGTTACCCTATGGGGAAGGTATGCTGATGAAATTAATGCATATGTCTCTAAGCATACCGGTCATTTTGTATTGCTTATTCAATGTGCTAAGTTGAAGCTTGTCCGAGGTACTTACTTAGTAAATTGTTAATTTGTAATATTTATATTAATAACATATCTATGATATGAATTTGTTAACATGTGGAAAATTATTAAATTTCATTTTCAGATCGTCCTTATGTCAATAACACCTACTTGGCCACAAAACTTTATATTGAAGATGACATTGAGGAGATAACAACTTTCAAAAAAAGGTTATGTGAAATTTCTACATGATTTCTCATTACGTTTTAATGTTTCAATAATATAGAGTTATACTATCTAACATTAATTATCTTAATTAGTTTACAAGCAAAAAAAGGCTCTTTGACTTCCTCGGTTTCACGTACCTCGGGTTCATCCATCATGTATTCACTACATGATGACTTTCTTCAAAAAAACTCTTTTCACCAAATATCCGCTATTCACGAATTGAACGAGGTATATGAATTATTCTTTTTTTATTTAGTTAATTCAACACTTAAATATTTAATACACCTAAATACACCTAATATCATAGGGAGGTTGTGCGGTAATTCTTGGCACAATAAAGATGTTTGAAGATACACGGAACTGGTATTATAATGCTTGCAAACATTGCAAGTCAAAGGTTCAAATAGTTAAGGTTTCAGATGAGACGGTCAATGGCTTGGACCAGTTAGAAGAGAAAGAGATTATGGTTTGTACAAATGAAAAGTGCAAGGACAAACTTATTACTGTTGAACCAAG